CCCGAAAAATTTCTAGATTTTTCGACCCGTCCGGATTCGTACTAGGGTCTACAAAACGGTAGGATAATACCTTAGTCGTTCGAACCTCATGGGGCGACTGGGTGGTGAGGGAGACCCATGTAGACAGGTCATGCATAAATTCCTGGTAAATTCATCTCCATCTGTACCTAAAGGTTCTCTTTGTTGTGATTTTATGTACACTTTGTGAAAAATATTAATAATTTAGATATCTCTAAACTCAATATTTTAAAACATCTGCGAAATTTTTTAACTCTTCTTATCTCACGGATACCAAGAATACCTCTTTTCATAATTATTATTGCTTCAGTAAGGTCTACAGCAGCGATGTGGATGGTAAGGGAAAGATGAAATTTCTGAGTCAACCCACAAATGTAAAATTCTGAATGTATCCGGACTTGGACATGTGAGGAGACACATAATTCTTTATCAATGTTCTACTTAGTTTCATGATGTGGTTCTTGGGAATTTTTTATTATGTGCTAATAATTATTTAAGGGCGAGTCATCACGTTTCTATAGACATTTATTTATTTCTATAAAAATCAAATATAACTAAATAGCGCCTCGGTCATTCGACCTGAAGTATGTATAGTTGAGAGTTGATATAAATGAAACTGGAAGTTAATTTGTTTGCTTTTCTTTTTTGCTAACTTTTTATAAAGTTATCAATAAATAACCTTAGAGTTATATTGAAAGGTTAGAACCGTACTTTTAAACATAAAATAATTAACTTATTTTATGGCATTTTCAATTCTAGATATAAAACTTTTTTATTGATACATTAAGGTTTGAAAGACGATAGTTTTTAGAAAACTGATTTTTTGAACTTCCGTATACAGTATATAAATAAGAAATGGGAAGTGGACGATAACTTTCTATAAACATTTGTGATAAATTTTTCTTTTTCCTCCTTTTAATGTTAAATATTTAAATTTGTTGATATTCATTTAGTTGTATAAATGTTTTGCTGTATATAAATAATAACTAAACCTTTGATTACTAAAATACGGTTACCGATAACTTATTATTTATTTCTAATTTAGAAAACTTATGATTTAATTGAAAAATTATATATATACTCACGATATATACATATATATCGTGAGTATAGAACCATATGTGACTAACTCTAAATCTCTAAATTTTGCACTTTTGAATAATAGAGTATTCCTATTATATTCAACAGGGTTATTTGAGATCATATTTGGAACCATAGATAAATAAAATTACGAACGATTACATAAAATAGCAAAGTTTGGTTAGGCAATCGAATATTGGTACAATTTTCAAAACCAGTTTTCTGATAATTACGGTTTCGTAGTTAGTCGCAGATGGTTCTCTATGTATACGATATATGTAGAGAGAAACAAGTATTTAAAAATCATACATAGCCAATCATAATCATAATTTTATTTATAACACGTGATCTATATAAAATACAATCTAAGTTGCAACATAAAAAAATGTAAATGTAGACTGTATCATATACATGTTAGCGGCTCAATCGTGCCGCGAAACTGCTAGTTATGACATAAAAATTATAAATGCATGAAAGATTATCTTAAATCAAAATACTCAAATACTACCAAAATTAGAAGAAAATTAAAACGAATGAAACTTAAAAAGAAAGAGAATAGTTTTTGATAAAATTTCCTCTAATAACAAAAAATTTTCAAATAAAATATTTTTCCAAATTTCAAAAATTACTATATTGCTTTCATTGAAAAAAATTCAGTATATAAAGATTTTTAATTATCGATAGAACTGTATTTAAGAAAATATTTAAAGATTTTTTCATATAGATGTTGGTCATTCAGTCAAATTTAAGAATTTACCTGCCTGTTGATAGTAATGCTGAGATTGGAGGATGTCACCCATCCATCAACTGTCTGAAAACTTTCTGTTTCCACAGATCTGACGACATTTTTATTCACAACCCACGAAAGTTGTGTAGGAGGATTGCTGATGTCGCTATGACAACGAAGCGTGATGGTCTCTCCCAGATGAGCTTCACTTGGACCAATGATTGTCAAATTCTTCGGATTGACTAATGTAAAAAAATAAAGTTGCTTTTTAAAAGAACAATTTATTTTTAACATTAACTGAGATTTTTTTCTTTAGATCGGTTCCATAAAAATTTCTTATATCAAAAATTACCTTCTTAATAAAAACAAAACTTTAAAACTTTTTGAAAGGAATTTTTTCTTAAATTAGTACAGTAGAGATTATTTACGTGAAGCAAAGAATAAGAATTTAAAAAAAGTCTCTTTAATATATTTTCTGAAAGTAAATATTAATCTATCTCTTTCTGATATTAATTTCAGGTTTTTCCTGTTTTTTATTTTATATTTAATGTAATTATTTTTGAAAAAGAATTTGATATGCCTGTATTTTTTTAATATATTATTAAATTAAATTTCGTTGATTGCTGTAGTTGACATGATTTCTTTTTTTTAGCACAGTAACTTAGTATTTTATCCAAAAAAAAATTAAATCTAAAAATAATCCTTCAAATTTTCAATACATTACGGTTTTAAATTTGTAAAAATAAAAGAAAAAAGAAGAAATTATAATAAACATTAAATTATTATTTAAGATAAATTTTTAAACATGTATTTTAAATATTTTTTTTACGAAACAGAAAATGTAGTTAGTTTATTGATTGTTATAATTTAAATTTAATCGTTTCAAAAAATTAAAACATTTTCAAATAAATTTAATTTTGATATTTTCTTTTACTATAAAATAGACAAAAACCGTTATATTATTCTGGATTTTGTTTAATCTAACTATATTAATTACTGAATTCGATTTAAAACACAATCTAAATTAAATGAATTCATTTAATGTTTTTTAGTTTATCCAGATTCTTATTGGTTTTATTATTCTGACAACCTTTCTTACAATAAATATTAAGACCAGTGTCTGAATAATTCACTTTTATATACAAGAAAGACGATTTGGATACATTCAACATCGAGTTTTGCAAACAATCAGAGATTGGACTTACTGAAATGAACGAATTATTGAATCGATATAAGTAAAACTTGATATAGAAGAGGAATTGTTGGAACCAGAATCAATAAATGTATATCAAATATCAGAAAATACTGAGGATGCTGCATAACAATCGGATTTCATAACAAATTAAAAAGAAAAGAGAGAGAGAGAGAGAGAGAGAATCTGACAAATAAAATTAATTCTCTTACTTCCAAATAAAAAAATAAATAAAATAGAATTTTAAATTACATAAATAAAATTTCGAAAATTTTATGCAATGAATTATTAATTTTTTCATAAAAATAGCCTATACCAGTTCATACAACATGCCTTATTTGAAATCAAATTTATGTTTTATGTATTATGGTATAGGCCCATTTATATAATATAATTTCTTTAAATACATACATATACTAAATGTTAATTAAAAATTTCGATATTACGATTTTAAATTTATTATTCATTATCGATCGATTTGAAAAATTAATTAATTACTAATTATTCCTTTCAAAGAATAACTATATTAAATAGAATTAGAATTATCTTAAATTATTTAAAATTTTGTTTCTTTATAAAAACAATGTCAATTTAAACACAAGATATTCTCCAATAAAAAAGTTATGAGGAATACGGTTTTTAAGAAATTAATTAAATATTTAAAAGTACAATATAACAATTAAGAGTATATATAAAAATTAAAAAATGATTATTATTATTACAACATATATGTATTTTGTATTAAGATTTTAAGTAATATATTTATACTAAAATGTTATTCAAACTGATATTTTCTCACATAAATTTATTTTGAATCACGATTTAATAACGTCTTTAAATGTATGCATATTTATTTATTTATAAAATCGATAAAATAAATTAATAGCAATAAAAATTTTAATTAAATTATGGCTATTTTGTTAATTAGTAATATATCAACATAAACGATATATTTCTGATCTTAAACTCGTTTTAGTAAATTATTAGCATTTCTTTAAATTTTATCATGCACATTTACACAGAAAAAGCCTTAAAATTTATTTTTAATTATTATTTTCAAACAACATTCATCATGAAAATAAAAAGCATATTATATAAAATATTTTATTGTAATATACCTAAGCTATATATACAGTACTATAATTTTTGCATATTTCATTAATAATTATTTTCTAATCTTAAAATTGAAGATATTTCGTGTAAATGAAGCTTTCAAAACTCGTTTTGATAGTATCTTTTATAAGAAATTATCAGCAATTTCTCAAACCAAAAACGAAATTACTTTTAATTAACAAATGCTTGATTATAACCAATTCATAGTTGAATTTCTCCACATCTAATATAATTAGCGATAATTTTTTAAAGTTAAAAATTTTTCAATCGTTTTACTTCGTTGGAAATATTAAATAGAAATTTGAACCTTCTAATTTATACTGAATCTAAGAAAACCGAATAATGCATGCTTAAATTTTAGAATATCACTATTAAAAATAAATAAATACAAGTCTATTAATATTGGAAATAATTAATTAAATACAAGTACACAATAATTATCTGATGAGGGAGCATAATTTACTTAAATATGTAAGTTTTTATCAGTTTTCTTCTTTATTTAATATAATTTAAATTCATATACAATCTATAGGAAATCATCAATACTATGCATACGGTTTCGATCAGTAAGGATTTCGGTTAATATGGGCCTCAGAAGAGATCCTCATTAACCGAATTTCAACGTTTCCAGTTCGACAGAACAGAGATCTAGTACCACTAAACCGATCACTTCTCTCCATTCCTGCTTGCCGTTAGTTAGTAAAAAAAAAAAACTCTAGTTTTCCTAATACAGTGCTCTTATTACTATAGATTAATTTGTAATTTCAACGTTTAGTGTAATTTTTGCAAACAGTTGTTTTAATTTTTCAAAACTTCTACAGAAAACTTTGTGAAGTTAAAAAGGCAGCAATAATAGAAGCGACGCGTGACAAATATTTTGCTTGATTTTTAAAGATTTTTACTTTGTGTTTTTTGGGAGAGGGCTACTTCAGTAGTTAGTCAAAATTCGCCTTAATCAATATTTAATGTTATTTTCCAATTTGTTTTGATTTTCGTGTGCAATTAGAATGTAACCTAGTTTGACTAAATTATTTAAATTAACTAATAATTCTTTAGTACGTTTTAAAATTTGGAAAATGTTTTATTTCATGTTTTAGTCCGCCAAAAAAAAAACATAAATGCAAAAATTACGATTTCAGACTACTTCTTAATAGGCAAATTAATTTATTTCCCATTAATACATATCGAAGTTCAAAATCAGAACTTCGATATGTGAGGCTTCGAAATATGCGTGTACTTATGGACGAATTAACTGCATAAATCGAGAGTTACATGTATTTAGAATAATTTATACTACACATAATATAAATTAGGCAATAAAAATAATCTACGCAATACTTTCATTTTCGTATTTGATACTTACAGAATACATTAAAAGTAATTGCTTTCTTCATTGGTTCCTTTGTAAGAGCATTGGAAACTTCGCATCGAAAAACAGCATTATTGTCTTCGATTCCTGCAGTAAATGTGAAAGTGTTTGTTGTCTCGTAACCCGTACTCGAATGTGTCATATCTACGAGGACATCATTTCGGTACCAAATGATTCGTGGAGCTGGTTTACCACCTCGAGATATGCAAATAAGAACTATCATATCTCCAATTTGTACAACGTCACCATCTTGATATCCTTGAATTATTGGAGGACTTGGAGGAACTAATAAAGTAAAAAACAAAATGGATTAATTAAAAGAAATCTATTTTGATTACATGAATTAATTAAAAATATTATTAATATAACAATAATTTCATAAAATATTTGATATTAGTCTGGAAAATTTTCAACTTTTTATTTTTTCATGTCTTCACTTTACAAAATTTGTAAAAACAAAACGGAGTGAAGATATGAAAATAAATCCAGACTATCATCAAATATTAACCTTTCTATGTTTATATTTAATATTAACATAGAAAGGTTGGGAAAATAATAGAAATAAAATTTCATTATTATTTCTTGATTACATTTCTTAACATAATACTTACTGTAAATAAATTTTTTCCTACTGACAATTCATTCCACTTTTTTNAGTTACATGTATTTAGAATAATTTATACTACACATAATATAAATTAGGCAATAAAAATAATCTACGCAATACTTTCATTTTCGTATTTGATACTTACAGAATACATTAAAAGTAATTGCTTTCTTCATTGGTTCCTTTGTAAGAGCATTGGAAACTTCGCATCGAAAAACAGCATTATTGTCTTCGATTCCTGCAGTAAATGTGAAAGTGTTTGTTGTCTCGTAACCCGTACTCGAATGTGTCATATCTACGAGGACATCATTTCGGTACCAAATGATTCGTGGAGCTGGTTTACCACCTCGAGATATGCAAATAAGAACTATCATATCTCCAATTTGTACAACGTCACCATCTTGATATCCTTGAATTATTGGAGGACTTGGAGGAACTAATAAAGTAAAAAACAAAATGGATTAATTAAAAGAAATCTATTTTGATTACATGAATTAATTAAAAATATTATTAATATAACAATAATTTCATAAAATATTTGATATTAGTCTGGAAAATTTTCAACTTTTTATTTTTTCATGTCTTCACTTTACAAATTTTGTAAAAACAAAACGGAGTGAAGATATGAAAATAAATCCAGACTATCATCAAATATTAACCTTTCTATGTTTATATTTAATATTAACATAGAAAGGTTGGGAAAATAATAGAAATAAAATTTCATTATTATTTCTTGATTACATTTCTTAACATAATACTTACTGTAAATAAATTTTTTCCTACTGACAATTCATTACACTTTTTTTACGAAAAAACAATACTTCCATTAAATATATTTTAGCACTGTCGGATGGCCGAGAAAGTTTAAGGCTTACCACTCTGTGGAAACAGAATCGAATTCAGGCCTTCAAAACCCCTAAGAATTTTTTAGGAGAATGACCTGTCCCGGACATGTTGGACCATGTAACTTACCACCAGGCCGCCCCATAGTGGGCCTAAATCCATGATGGCTGTGGTAAATAGGTCGTCTAGTGTCCGTAGGGCAGAAAAGTAAATACAGTGGGTGATCGGTTAACGAACAAATCAGACAACGAACATTTTCGCGAAAGATTTTTATGTTCGGACAAAGAACACATAATCGGATAACGAACACCCCACAGAACAAACACAAGAAGAAGCAACGTAAAATAATGAATACAGATTGGTCTTCCCTTGTTTTCGGGCAACAATTCGAAAGTTTTCGGAGTGTGGGAGACGTCGACATCGACGCTCAATCCGGTATATACTGATCGGATAGTATTCCTCCGAACTTTGAAACTCTCTCTTGTAATTCCAACCTTTTATTTTTCTGACAGAAACAATTCTTTTATGTATTCGCGAGATGTAGGGTAGGCACTCGTTAAGTTTTGCATCTGTTTTTCTTTTCGAAAGGTGCAAAGGTAGAGAGTGGACAAAAGATGCCTAATGTTGCTGGGCAGTACGGTGTGAACAGGTCTACATTAACAGTAGGCCGCAGTTCAATCTTATTTAAGAAAAATACTGTATAATCAAGAAGACTCAAGCAGGTAAAGAGTAACAAAAATCACATCTGAGAAATAAAGAACATCAAATAGTTCATAATGGAACCTGAAAAGGATCTGACGACAGAAGAACGCCAAGAACTCTTGAATGAAGAACACCAAGAAACTCGGCGAGATATGTTTTCTTCTGAAAAAGAGGATTAATGCCAATATCTGTTATTAAAGATCCTTTTAAAAAGTGGGAGGATGTCAGAGTAACGGTCTTAGAATGGCATCCAAACCAGATCGAGGCTTGGTTATTTCTACAATTGCAATGCTATTAATTACTTACGAAAAATCCTGAAGAAGAGAGAAAAGC